CACATATAAGTATATCGGTAACCGTTCTACCAATTTGTACCAAACTCGGTATGGTTATTGTACTTGCCACGTGTAAGCAAAACGTTGAAAATTATTGAAATCGGACTAAAATAACGGCCGATTCTCATATAACGGTAAATTTAAGAAATGCTTGAAACTTCAATATTTCGAAATTGAAGGACGCTAATTTACTCAAAATTGATACACCTCGGCTTACCATCTAGCGGAATGTTTCGGAAGGGTGAAAAAACATATATTTAATACTTGCGCCGGGTATTTAATGTTCGGCTCCGCCCGAACTTAGACTTTCTTACTTGTTTTTTAATGATTTTCAATTGGCTCTAATTTTCGAGATATTTACGATTAAAAATATAAGGGCCGACTTCATAATAAAATGAAAGAATGTTTTAAAATTTAAAGGATGCTTTATTTTGCTGATCGATTTCATAAAGCCACTTTTAAGATAAAGGTGCCCATAAAGGCACTTTAGTTAAATACCCAAAGTGGAAATTTAAATGACACAAAGGTCCCTTTTGTAAGAAACAAAATTATGTCATTTTCGTAGTATAATAACAGATTTATGACAACCAGCTGATGCAATTTGGCCGAGAGCAGCATTACCAACTTTGTTATTTTCATTTAAATGAACCTTTTGTTATTATTCAATTGCAAACCTTTGCAAAAGGAGCTTTAAGTGTTTCATTATGACAAGGACCCTAAGAAAACCACATTTTCATATATTTTAGAGCTTTTGTAGTAGTATACCAATACAATGAGGAAATTTGGAACAGCATAAAACGAAAGCTTAAATATTGTCCTTTTATCCCAAAAGGCAAAAAAATTGGTTGCGCAAACATTAGTCACAAAAACAAATTCTTGCAAGATAAAAATTGTGGCCAACGCAACCTGAAATATCCTATTTATTATCACATCAATACCACTTTTTTTAAATTGGCTATTCTTCTTCTTTATTGGCGCTGTAACCGTCTAAGCGATTTTGGCCGAGTCCTAATAGCACGCCAGTAATTTCTCTTCTGTGCCAACTGACACCAATTGGAAATGCCAAGTGAAGCCAAGTCTTTCTCAACCTGGTCTTTCCAACGCAGAGGGGGCCTTCCTCTTCCTCTGCTACCAGCATCGCGGCCTGCGTTTAATACTTTCGGATCAGGAGCGGTTCTGTCCATTCGAACGATATGGCCAAGCCAGCGGAGCCGCTAAATTTTAATTCGCTGCCATATATATATATAGTTGTAAAGCTCATGCAGCTTATAGTTAAATCGTCTGCGCTATTCGCCATCGCCAACGCGTAAAGGTCCGTAAATCTTTCTCAGAACCTTTCTCTCGAAAACTCCAAGAGCCGCTTCGTCAGATGTCTATTATAATTTATAACAACGAAAACCTAAAAGATTTGATTAAAGGGGGAATTCATTTTTCTTCGAATGAGTATAATGACGCGTATGACCGAAGGGTTTAAAATTTCAAAATGCATAAATACACACATACATTTCCCAAGTTATTCACAAATTTTCGAAACATTGGGCAGACAAACTGAGCCACTAAAAGAGAACTAATGCGAAATTAATTGAATTTGATAAATAAAAAACAATTTTTTATTATTAATTTTGAAGTGTTAAAGCGTTATTTTTGAGGAATCTAATTTTTTATCTTTCGATCTGAAATACGAGTATTTCTTCTTTCAGTTTATAATGGTCAAAAGATTATATTCCACAAACATATTTTTCTACAGAACTCCAAAAAATTGTAAAAATAAATTTGATTAACATCTAAATCGCAAATGTCTCAAAAGCTAGACCCAATTGAATTATTTGGAAGGTTAGATTCTGGTTCTACGGAAAAGATCATAAAGAAAAAGAGGTCACTAGTTGTACCCCATACAGGTGTTAGAATTTTGTTGGGCTGTGCAATTTATATTCATATTGACAAACTTTTCCAATAACTTCTATACTACATATATATGTATGTACATATTTTCATATACAGAACGGTACAGGTTTTTCAAAATACTTAACTAAAGAAAGATAGTAATTAAGTAATAATAGATACATAAACTCATATGTGATGTTTTTAAAAACATGTTTTGCACTCAGTTAACCGATTAGTAATTGAGCAGAGCTTAGATAAACTGTTTAAACTCCTAATACTATTTTTTACGTTCTTTGTATAGTATTTTTTACAGAAAGCATTTGGTTTTCTATATACATAGTAATCAATTCAATTTCATATTTATTTAGGTACCCTGCAAACCATTTTTTCAGAGTATTCTGAATTGTAGAGAAATATTAAGGAATTCGTGAAGATCTCATACGATTTTTTGCCGAATTTTCTAAAATGAAATAAACTGTGCACATTTCGATTCTGTTACGAAATTTCGAATGAAAATAATGCTGCTTGTAGAATTTTTTCAGAATTTTCTTTATTTTTCGTACAGAAATTTCTTTGCGAGTTCTTGTCAACCACTTCATATAATTTTCTTTGAAGATTCGTAAAAAAATCGTCACAGAAATGAGATACTCCTAAAGTTTTCATTAAGATTTCAGGAAATTTTGGTTTGCAGGGTAGGTACATTGTGTACAAATATCTTTAAACATTTCTCAAATTTTTTTCCTGCTTTAAAAACTTAAAGCCAACAGCCAATGCAATTAACGCCGCAGCATTGTTTGCCCTTCAATTGCATTTTAATTTTATTGCGCAGCAACTCCTCCTCATACTGGCAGGGGCATATCGACGATTGCAAGTGACGTGGGGTCTCATGCACGCCCGCCTCCTGCACGGTCCAGTCCAAGCGGCGACGCAGGAAATCCTTGCCCCAACGCTGCAAGTAGCTAAGAAACAGCTCCTGTGCTACAACCTAAGCGAGTTGAATGAGCATCCGTATGTGTAATAGGAAGAAATTATTTTCATGAAATTTATATACAGTATTAATTACGTGTCGTCTATGTGTGTGCGAAGTGCGTATGTGTATGCGTGTTTGATTTGTATGTGCGTGTGGATGTGTTAATTGCCAAACAAAACAAATGTTGTGAAAAAATATTAATCGTAAATTTTAAGTGCCAAAAGTGCCAGTGAAATGCGAGTCTTCCGTCCACCCCGTTTTGCCACACACTCACCTGTTTTCGTGACAACCGCACTGGATTATTGCCTTGTATTACAATGTCGTTCACATCAATGTCTAATTTACGTTCCCAACCCGCTTTAATCGTTTCGCCACCATTTTGTTCGGTGTGTTCGAGAAATTCATTCAAGAAAGTCACACATTGCGTCGCATCGAAATATAAAAAGCACAAATTCACTTTGTGGCATGATATGCGACCACGATCGTCCAGCACTAAGAGAATTTTGTGCTTCATAAGTTGGCGATTAACTCGCGCTAAACATTTCTCCAAGCCGCGCGACAAACGTAATTTTACCCACATGCAAAGGAATATGGCTGCCGCGTTGAGGAAAAGCCAGCCTACACCCAGAGAAAAGAGGGCCACACCCTGCAGTCCAGAGAAGAGCAGTGTGAGCAGCACCGTAAAAGCAAGCGCAATCCAACAGACGAGAATGCGCTTGTAACAGATGTTGTAGACAGTGAAACGGTAATCGTTGACCAGCGTCTCCATGGCGTTCACATACTCCTCGACGGTGAGCTGAAGCGAGAAATGTGCGAGATATGTTTAAGGAAAGAAACTAAATTAAAGAAAGTATTTAAAATTCGTGGCTTACAGTTAGTCCTTGTGCCATCAGTTCCTCGGGCACGAGTTCTGGACGGAACAGCGCTGGTGTAATCCATGGCCATTTTGTGTTGGCAGGTAACAATGTGACTATAACATCGCCATTTGCTAAGGAAATAAAAATAATTTTTCCTTAAAAAGTATTTACTATGCACATAATTGCAGTAAAGTTCATTTGAAGTAATAAATAAAAGTTTTTTCAAATGCAAAATTTACAATGAGAGAAAAAGGAGTTTTGTTTTATAAATCCCGTTGCGACGGTTTGGTATTTTCACAGTGATGACACGAAATTGGTTCAACTGAATGCTATGGACGACTGAAACTGCTGAGAAAGAAAGATACCAATGACAACTGGAAATCATATAAACATGATCGAAATCTGGATCTGGTGATTGCAACTGGGGGCTTGTGTTTACACTCTTCTGTAACCTAAGATATCAGCAGGTTATTTAATCAGAGCTTAATGGTTAACGCAAGCTGAAAGACCTACACCCATTTAATAAAACTTCGAAATCTTTTTAAGTTATCTGTCCAATTTGATTTTTATAGCCATATTAAGTTTGCAGTTTTTTGGCTAGTATTTATCAGGATCTGAGTCACACATGATGGTCACATGTGACCTCACTGCCCTACTGCTCCTTCTTTAAATTCTTCATGATCAGGATCTTCGAACACGTGCTTACGCCAACAGAAGAAACAAATTAAATACGCAACAACTTTAATGACAGCGCACGCCAGCGTAAAAAAATGTGTCTCGCTTATGTTTACACGAGATTTGGAAATTTTTATTCAAACGTCTAATCGACATGTTTGAGATATTATTGGAAAGTTTTCGGAAACGATACACCGTATTCTTAAAAACTTAAATCGTTGCGAAAATATTACAGTTTTTTATTAAATTTTTTGTGTAAAAATAATGGTTGAGAAAATCCCTAGTGAGCTAGGCTCTTGGGAAATCCACCCTCGACCAGATTTTCACAATCCTGGAAAGGACACTAGATAAGCACATTGACGCACACCATCTATTTTTGATTTTTAAGTCGCATGATTACATGAGCAACACCATGTTATGTAGAGCGACGTTGAGTAAAAAATTCAGCTTATTTTAAATCGGGGAGGACCTCTCTTCCCCGTTTGAGGCCAAACGAGCAGTGCACGGACTTTATCACCTTATTGGTAGATCTACCAACTCTTTAGCTATATTAAATTTTCTACAATTTTTAGCAACAAAGGCTAAAAATCTACCAATATTCGCCGGAAAGAAAGCAAAGAGATCTAATTTTGAATTTTTGAGCATTCAGTAATAGTTCACTTTTTCAAATCAAATCGAATAGGGGGAAAAATAGCTGTCATTTTATTTCATTCGATTCGAATCGAGTTTTATGTACATATGTACATTTATTTTATATAAAAATACAAGTCATCCCAAGGTGAATTCATACAAGGTGATAGCAGGAGTACAAAAACAAAAATTGCCCTAACTAAATTTATGCACTATCCTAGTAAGAATTACAACAAATACATAATTTTGACATATGAGAACTTCTTCTTCTTATTTTGCGCTGTAGCCACCTAAGTGATTTTGGCCTAGTTCAACAAAGCACGCCAGTCGTTTACCTTCTGTGCCAACTGAAAATGCAAAGAGAAGCCAAGTCCTTCTCCACCTGGCCTTTTCATCGCAGTGGGGGCCTCCCTCTTCCTCTGCTACCACCAGCGGGTTCCAAGTTGAATAATTTGAGAGCTGGAGTGTCGGAGTCCATTCGCTGCACTATGTCTATGTCGTTGTAAAGCTCATACAGCTCATCATGCCATTGTCTGCGGTACTCGCCGTCGCCAACATGTAAAGGCATGTACATCTTCCGCAAACTCTTTCTCTCGAATACTCCATTAAAAACCACCGAGACGAAAATCTCTACTCTGTAGCATCATCTTTTCTGAATTCGCAATGTTTTATCCTATATGAGTAAAAGCTATCTAATATTGTTTCCTTTAAAAAATCTACCAACTTCTACCATTTCTTGTATGTAATATCTACCAATATTAATTTTTTTGACGTCCGTGCACTGCATACGAGGTTCATTTTTCATTATGGTGCGGGAAGTCGTAACAAGAGCTGTTAATCGGAATCGCAGCGGCACCAACACACGTCATTGTTTTTTAAAGTTGTACAGGACTTTGTCGACCTAGTATCCAGTATAAGCTTCCTTGGGGACTTTCGAGGGAACTTTTTACTCAAGATATATGGCCGAGTTTTCGTGGGCGACGGGTACCGAAGAAGATGGAATGACAAACTCTATGCATAGATGGCCAGGTTCCAATGAAAGGATCCTTTACTCAGCACTCTTAGGTAGAAAATGGCACCCACGAACATAATGGAAGGACGAACTACCCGAAGAAGTCTTTTTTGTTTTTGCATAGTGATGCATTTAAGAGCGTACATGAGATAGGGCGTTTTTGAGCCGAATTCTGATATAGGGCGTTCTTCAATCAAATCCTGAGATATGGCGTTCTTCAGCCAAATTCTGAAAGTGGGCGTTTCTGAAAAATTATATGAGATAGGCCGTTTTCCAACTGGCTGCCAAGATAGGTGGATCTTCCACTCAGCCATCGATATGTACATAAACGCGTGAATGCTTAAAATTGATCAAGTGATGATAAAAAATTCGTCCACCCTAATGTATACAAATTATTTTTGCGCATTTGCTTCTTAAAAATTGAAACATTCATTGCTCATTGTATGTACATACTTACCGAAACCTTCGCGTATGCGACCCGTCGACAGTTCAATGGTACGCATTGGTGGCACCGTTTCCACGGGAATCGACACACTCGATGTATTCGCTGCTGTTGCTTTGGTTGATGCCGTTTTATTGCCACTACCATTCGATGGCGAAGTGCCATTGTTATTTTGGTAATGTTGCTGCTGCTGGTGTTGTTTTTGAAAGCCACTACTTGCCACACCAGCAACATTCGACGGTGACAATTTAGCCTTTTGGTGCTGTTGTTGCTGCTGTTGGCCTGTGGGTTGCGAAGCATGTGTGTGATGTTGTTGTTGTTGATGGTATTGGAGCTTGTGTTGCGAGCTACCGGATGCATTCAAATTGACATGCGTACTCTCGGTATTTAAAACAGCGGGTGCTACATCCGGCATGGACGGAGTAGGTGATGCGGCGGAAACAGTTTTTGTTGCACGCTGAAAATGGTAATAAATGTTTTGCATATTGAATAACGTTATTAAAAAAAAAATAACTTGTACTTTTATGTAGAACTATGTTGGTTCATGTATATTGAGCATTCAAATATTTATGGTAACAATAATTTTTACTTCAACTACGTACATACATACATACGTCTAGGCGAACAGAGTTGGTATCTGAATATTTTAAAGTCACGTCGACTTAGCGTAATTTAGCGTTATTTTTTTAACTGATAACTACGCGAATGCTTTTGATTTTTTTAGTTAAGTATTTTCCTTTTTGTGATATTTTATGATTTCCTCTGATTTGCCTTGAACTAGGTTTTCTGTGGTTAATGACTTTGGTAGCACGTGCAGCAGTCGTGCTTGATTTTTTGCGATTTGCTTCACATGGCGAATGCATTTTCAAACTATTTAAGCTTCTTTTACCTAACTACCCACAAGTATTTATTTCTCTTTGTAAGCACAACTCTCGTTAATATTCGAAAATTTATGGAATCGATATTATTGATTGCCTGTGTTTACACTTTTTCGTATACATACATAAACACCATATGTATGTAATAAGGAATATTTTTGGTAGATATGTATGTAAGTATGCAAGCATGTATCAAGACTATACAATTTTGCACGAAATATGTACATAATTACGCTATACGCACAACGAATAATTGAAAGTTTGAAAAATGCGAACTTATTTAGAGCATACCTACATACATTCATGGTAAATTATGTTAAACGATAGCACCTTGACCTCAAAAAAGTGTTTAAATTAGAAGTACCATGTTTTAAATGCATTGGCTAAGTTATTTTCGCTGCTGTCGTCTGGTAATATTGGTTAGTATATTTATTGTTGTTGTTAAAGTTACTTGATTGAAACACGCAGAGGGGTACGGTACGAGCATGTTTTAAAGATTTATCTATTACATATGTCATCCCGATACCTTGGCTTCTAGTGTTTTACATACATACATATATCAGCGAAAAGTAGTTTTGAGTTTATATATGTATATATTGATCCAACTCACTCTAGAAGTTGAGAAAGCTTCATCGAATGTTATTAGCTAGGGAATATTTTTTTTTTCAACCAGTCCCCTTAGGTCAACAGATAACGCAATGCTACAAAAAAGAATAAAACAGAAATACCTGGGAAGTTATATATATTTCGTGGTAGGTCTTTTCGAGGAAAACAGAATCGAAATATGAAATTTGCCAAACACCCCCAAAATCTGGATTTACCGTTAAAAACCGGATTTTCGTACTTTTGCGCACTTATAAGCCTGTAACCTATTTGATTATGCACTGAATTTCAGTTTATTGCCGGATTTAAAAAGAAGAAACTTGGGCCTTTCGAACGATATGTATGTGAATAAAGAAACCTTAAGAGATCTGTGTGTATTTACTTAGCAAACACATTTTTTTGGCTTTTTTCGCCTTTTTTAAATTTTGGTAAGGTTTTTACGCACTATTTTATAAGAAAACCATACTAGTCCTAAATTGATTGTAAAACTAAATTTAATAATGAAAAAACTAGTGTTTATTTTAAAAAATCGGATGAAAGTTTATCGAGCTATCAAACTTTTTATGAAAACAAAATTTTTCAAAAATATTATTTTTGACTATACTACTCAAAAATGTTTTCTTGTTTTTTCTTAATTCAGCATCATCAGTTTCTCGTTGTAGTGACCAGCAATATTCTGAAATCGTTTTTATTTAATTTTTTCCTCCGAAACATTTTTTAATTGTAGCAGTTTCTTGGTGAAAGTGTTCGCCTTGCTCATCACTGAATGAAGGAAACGAAATTTTTATGGACATAGTCATCGCTTCTGTGGTTTCCAAAGAAATTATTGCACGCCCCTCATAATTTTAAGAATTTGAGGTCCTATGAAAATTTCTTCTTCTTCTTCTTGAAAAGGAACTGAGTGAAAATACCTACAATTCATTAAAAGAGATGATAATAGAAAAAACACAAACTATGCTATACCTGTTTTTGTATAAATTGCGTTGAATCTGTACGATCCTATATTTCCGTATCTGATTTTGGAGTTGTGCCTTTTTTGAAGACTGTGTGCAATATATATATGAAAATGTAACCGCGTTTTAAAGCTTAAGTGAAAGAGAATTCAGAAAAAGTAATATAGTTAGATAAAAAATTACCTTGACCTTAAAAATGGTCTTTGCTCTACGCAGCCGTAGTCTGGTACAGGGTTGTTGCGAATATTATTCCGAAATAAAAGTCTATTCCGGATAATAAACAAACCGCTTATCCAAATTAAACAAGTTTGGTATCAAATGAAAGAGGACTTAAATAGCTTTAAAACTGAAATGTCTAAACGAGGAAAGCTACATATTGGAAAATATTTCAACTCAAAATGTTAATTAATTACCATAGAACAAACCTTGTGTCAGGTATACGCCTTTCTTTAGTATTAAATTATAAAAAATATATAAATTGAGGTCGTTCGTTATTTCTGCTTAAAAGCTATTTCAGTCCTTTTTCATATGGTACCAAATTTGTTTAATTTGGACAGGCCGTTTGTTTATTATCCGGAAAGGACCTTTATTTTGGAATAATATTCGCAACAACCCTGGTCTGGTAGCCTACCCTTGGTAAGTCAACAAAGCTTAATTAACTTCAAAGATTTCAAAGTGTGCAAAGGAGTAGGAACTTGCATAAGCGGATCTCTATGCTCTTCAGTTACTGAAGCTCTAGACGCGATTCTACATTTGCTTACGCTTAACGTATTTTCTCGAGAATTAGCCGCTATTGCAGCCTTAAGACTCAGAGAGGCATACGGACACAAGAAAATCTATTGGAAGATGACGCCCATACCCAGATCTGCAAGCACTGCAAGCATACCAACAAACACCTTCACTAAAAAGTATAAAATTATCTTACCACTTCGGCAGGACTCGAATACCATGTCCCACCAAATACGATATGAAACGCTATAAACATGCGTACTTATGGCTCCAAACTCGACGGAAAAGTCGGAATAATGTTTTCACCAGGTCTCTGACAGTCAAGAAGCTCTGAAAACGCTATACTTAGGCGCAGACAACGCAAAATCTCTTAAGCTAAGTGTACACGGTAGAGAAATCTCGGAAGTGTTTTACTGAAATAAAATTCTCGTCTCTCAATTAAGTTTACATGGTAAAGCAACTCTAGGAGAAATTTAAACTTTTCTCTATCGCGTACTCTACAAGCTGTGTACACGGTAGACAATTGTTACCTCTCGCCTAGAGTTAGTTTTCTATCACTAATTTTTGTATGGATGTATATCAGAGCCACGACCGCTAACCCTTCGTCGAGTTAACAGCATCCACCTATTCGCTGACGCCATAAAATATTGTTTCGCACTAGGGATGAAATATAAATGTACCTAAAAATTAAATACATATGTGTTTTTATGTGTATACCCTTGGGTACCATGTCTACTTTTGGACTCGCATCAAACAATTTTTGCTATTAAAAATTACCTTGAAAGCAATTTCTTCGAGAAGTGCCAGTCAAAACTGTGTTTTAACCAATGTCTTTGGACCTTTGCAAAGGCGCGAGGCTATTGGAAGAGCCGTTGAAATGTCTTTTAAAATAAGAGAAACTTTCCCAATAAGTTATTTGGCTACGTTCTAAATGCACCCAAAGTGGTGCGCATGTACCGAATATACGTTTTAATGTCGTAGCCATTTCCGAACTTAACAAACTGTGATGAAATTCATTGTCAGGACTTTACCATACGTCTCCGTAGTGCAAAAGCTCTACGACAACTCTGCGCTCTATCTGGCTACGCCCATGGAGAAGGGCCATTTCTTTTTTTTAAACTATAGTTCCTGTCTTTGAAAACAATCATTCACAAGGAACTGGTGTCACAACAACGCTAAATAAACTTCGTGGAAACTTATAAGGAGTCGCAAAATTACCATTCGTATCTTCTTACTTGAAAGGCTGATCGAGAAATCGTTAAGCAATGGGAAAGCTCATCGTTATCTTCCCGATGATGTTCCCAAAATCATAGGCTGGCTCTACATCCTCCTCTGATTTACGAACACTTTTGCTCTACACTGTATGCGCTCGTTTAGACTTAATCCTAGCACAAGCGAGTGGTCCACTTGGCCAAAATACTTGCACATTGTACTCGATAGCCTCCAATTACTTGTACACGCGTATCGAAGTAGAAAAATACTCATTTCTTGATAGAGTACTCGGGTATATACTTTTAAGTACGGGTTTCAGATTATTGCTATCTACAAAACTTTGCGGAGGTAGCGAAAATTAACATTAGAGCACTCACTTCAAAGTTCATTACTTCAAAGAAATGGTTTGATAGCAAGTGACCTCAGCAATATCGAAGATGGTATATCGAATAACAATGGGACCATCTTTAGCCTAAGAACAGAGGAAATTACTCCTTCTAGACATTCCACCTAAAGGCCAGTATGCAGCTCGCAAGAAAACGGTCAAGAAAAAAATTGCCATTATTTCGTATGTGTGTCGAAGGAGTTTTGACATGTGATACTTCACCAGCCTGTTGCCTCACTCTTTCCTCAAGAAATAATGGAACGGGCATATATTTCTGTTGCAAACCTGTTTTGCCTTGAGCTCTTTTTTCACAAAAAGCTTTAGAAAACCGTAGTAGAAAGCGTAGCAAATTTTTAAGAACTACGTACTGCCTTAAGGAAATTTGACACAAGAAAATTTCTTAGCCATTTCTTGTACGTCATTTTATATAGAGTTTTTGCTTTTCTTGAAAGCTGCAAACTGGCCTTTAACGTAGCCTAAAAATATTTAGCTTCCCATTTTTTACCTGAAGAGGTTATTGCGGCTTTCCCACGGCACGCCACTTACGTAGTTCGCCCTCTCATTCGTAATTTGCACTCCAATTACCCTTCAAATTATGTAATTCATGATAAAAAATATTGAGAGCGAATTACCTCATTTCTTGGCAATTCATGTCCAATTACCATGCGAATTACGAAGAAATCTCTGTCGTCTTTAT